CCATGTGTTATCCTGATGACACGCGTGGTCAGTTCTACACTGAGCTATCCTCTGTGATACGGTCTGTGCCGAGGAGCGACCGATTATTTCTGCTGGGTGATTTCAACGCGCGCGTTGGGCGCGATGCATCAGCGTGGACAGATGTTATCGGTGCGCATGGCATTGGTTCAGCGAATGCGAACGGTGACAGGCTGCTCTCACTGTGTGCCACTCACGGTCTGACGATCACGAACACTCGGTTTGCACTGAGTGCGAGTGATATAGCAACTTGGACGCACCCACGGAGTGGTCACACTCACCTGCTCGACTATGTCATCGTACGTCAGCGTGATATGCGTGATGTGCGCATGACACGTGTACTGCGTGGAGCTGAGTGTGGCACTGATCACAAATTGCTGCGGACCAATTTGTACATATATTTTCGTAAATCTATGCATGGTACTCCCGCCGTGAATCGGCGTAAATTTAACATTCTCTCCCTCGGTACTGTGGCGAAACGTACTGAGCTGGAGAAGGCGACGGCTGCACGCCTGTGTGATGTGGACTGCATAGCCACAGTGGGCGACCTGTGGCACCATATTCGTGACCAGATGACAGCTGCTGCCGAGGAGGCCATCGGGCGCGCAAACTGTAAACGGCGTGATTGGTTTGATGACAACAATGTGACGTTTGGCGCATTGGTGTCAGAGAAGAATATATATATATATATATATATATATATATATATATATATATATACCTCCAAAATGGTTCAAGTGGAGTAAGCTGACTCATAGCAAATGACTCCAAGTTTGATCATCGTCGCACATGTTTAAAACTGGTCAGTGTTTTACTACAATTCCTATTAGAACGCAGTATTCTGCCCATAGTAATAGGCAGTAAAACATGCCAGTTTCGCAGTACGCAAAATGTATTCTGACTAGAAACAATACACTGCATCCCAATTTTAAAACATTGCGATTGATGAGAAGCTTCGCGTCCGAGTGACACGCGCTGTCTCCGAAAGTAAGTGGACTCTGTATATGCGGATGCTACAACTGCTATAAGACATCACCGGGGAACAGGGGAGATGGGCAAGAGGTGAAATGAGAGCCCCGATCGATAAGCTGTAGACAAACAGCCACAGTTCGGAGACCATGATCAGTGAAATAAAGTTTGAATCATAAAATGAAAAGATAAAAAGGGAGTACTGAAATAAGCAAACGCACAACAGTGTGGCGCTAATGAAAATGGTACATGGGGAAAGGGTCCCGTCAAAAATGGAATGTCACAGTAGTGATCGCGAATTCGATAAAACAAGCATGAAAATTGGAGTGTTTCGGAGCCGTTCTCTCATAACACCGCACTCCATGACCGGTTTCGTCTTGTTTCGGACTATTCAGGTGGAGATGGCTTGAGCTGAGAGTGGAACCCGACACTTAGTGGTTAACTGCTTACGTCATCGCCACAAAACCGGAGCTCCACGACCAAGGATTGACACAGAGGCCCGCAGTTCACTGTTGGGTCTTGGAGTAAAAGCCAATCGGTCCCAAGCCGTACTGCACATGGTCTGTAACTTGAATTCTTGTCGGCATGAGGAGTGAGGAATTCTCACAATTTACCCACTAGAACGAGATTACAGCACTGCTTGTTGTCGACCTCAGAACGCGAATAGTTGAGGTTTGTATATGTATTTAATTAGTGTGTTGTAGACAGCACACCATATTTTGAATCTGACTTTTATTTTGCTTAATTTGGGACAGTTTCTTACGTACAGCTCGATGACAGCGTTTGGTCGTAACAGTGCTCAATTGAAGCTACTGTTTTCATCGCCATGTCCGCTCCACGTGGATCTACCTTCACCAAGGAATCGGACATTTCTAGGCGAGTCTTTTTCGATGCCGTTTCCCACTCTGACCCTCGTGTTAACCTTAATTCTTCAGCTAGTAGTGCGCTCTCACAAATTCTGCTTGCTTATGGAAAAACTGGAGCTCGAATAAGAACCTAACCGGAAGCAAAGGATCTCATAAGCTAGGCAGGTGAAACTCGTCGGATGCGGCACAGCGCTGGAAGATGAGCAAGGTGACCCGTCGAAAAAAATCGACGAGTTCATCACCAATTGCTCCTCGACTTTCATGAATCAACCACCCACGAATAATTTTGATTTTTCATCAGACTCCCCTATATTTGCAGTGGCGTCAACCCTACATCCGCTGATTTCAGGTACCGGACTGTCCAGAGTAGAGATAACCTGCTTTGACAGACATAGGTGGATTATTGGAGTTTTATATAGAGTTTTAGAGAGATTTTATATAGAGAGCAAAATGGTACACGAGGGAAGAAGTCTACCGTGACCTTATACAATACTGTAAAGGGGCAAAGTAGCTATTTGTGATTGTGTAATGGTACCACCATATCAGGGTTACGTTGAAGCACGGAAAATCCTAGACCTATTCGGACAAGCCCATCACATCGCAGGAGCATCAATAGAGGGCTTGCTGCAGGGCGCGAGAGCTATTCCTATTAATTCCGATGCTCTATCGAAAGTAGTCATCAACAAGGAAAATTGCCAAATTAAACTGAAGTGAAAGAATTATTATGAGGTTGACGTGAACTCGATAGAGATAGTGCGTGCCTTACGGAAATATATGCGGCATAGGTGAGTGGAGGTTGTTGACTAGCTATCGCTGAACGGTCACGAGCCGACTTTTTTGAATCTGACCGAATTTGTGTCATCTCATGTTCGCATAGCCCGCAGCCGATTCAGACAGCTAGTCGACATAGCACTCCGCATCTCGGAAATAGTACCTACAAGGGATCCTCCCAGAATATAATATCTTATTGCACGTACTCTTTCCGCTGAGCAAGGAAACTTCGTTGAGATCCAGAAGCCAATTGTGCGCAATCGATACAGGAAGCCACCGTGTCAGGGATTGTGATAATTTTAGAGCGCTGAGCATGCCGTGGCGACGGGAAATACTGGAAGCAAAAATGATATGTTTGGGTTGTCTAAAGCCCGAGTACCTCATCAAAAAATTGTAATATTGAAAATACTTGCAACATCGCCAATTGCAACGTTCGTCATCACGGCCTAATTCATGATGTCGGTTCCCTCGTTCCAGGTCATGCAGCAGTAGCAGGACAGGCAAGCTACGGAGCACCCGGTGCGAACATGGACTGTGTAGCTCTGTGTTCTTCCAGCTACGGTTGCTAGGCCACCCGGATCAATGGATGAATACGCCGCTCCCGATAACGGATAGGACACAACTCTGAACAGTCAGGATATCGCCGAACGAGTCATCATCAAGACCGATTACTACGATCAACGCCAATCGCAACTTTGATGGTTCAGGGGAGAAATTTTTGCATTCGTTGGCTAAACAACCCAAAGGAATTCGAAGTGGAGAGCACGTTCGCTGTACCTAGCTTACCGATTCAGTCCTCTGGCTATGGAATGCAAACGGAAACGTGCGTGGCATCATCTAGCTTAACTTGGTTCGGAATAAACAGGGGACAAGCGAATCTTTTCGTTAATTGTTAGCGATGTGTCCGAAGCCCACTGGTATTCATATCAACAGCAGGGCGGTCAAAAGCAATTCTATGCCATTAAAACTCTGCTTGGATGGGCTTTGCTTAGTCCACTGGAATCTACTGTGCATGAAATTGCTTCCGTCAACTGTATCGTCTCAGTGAACAATTAGTCAAATTCACAGGTTGTACCGCGTGATTTCAGATGCGGAAACTCCTGAATATTCGCTTTCGCTAGAGGACGCATCAGTAGTGGCCGAGGTTGAATTTGGAACCCACTCGATGCGCGGACATTACGTTGTTTCTATCCCTTGGCGAGATCGGAACGCGCTAGTAACCAGTTATGAACTTATAGCAGGAATTTGAAACGACGTCTCTTCCGTGATTCCGAATTTTTCTCCAATATACGGTGACTGTAAACTCCACCCTGAGCAAGGGGTGTGTAGTTAAGGTCTCTGCACACCTGCTGGCAATGAATGACACCCTTTGTTGACACCAGCCACATCATGCAGCCGAGATGAGAGGTGACAATGAGAAATAGTGGAACGCTAGTAGATTTTGAATTTATCTACAGCATAAATTTCGATCGCCTTTCAGTCCTTGCTTTGGCTATCAGTGGCCAACACGACACGGTCCTAGTGATCGAAATAATGGGGGCGAACTTTAAGTATGTCGTGTTCTAGACTGACACTGCTTGCTGCAATGCATACACGAAACGGCAAATTCAAGAATACAGTAATCAGTTCAGTGATCCGAGCAAGAGTAGCGGAAATGAGTAATCGTAAAGTGGAGCAGTAAAGTGTCAAGAAAGAGAAATGAGTACAAAAGCGTCAGTAACCTCATGATAGTGGTACAGCCACTGCAGTAGCTAACCAATAACGTGGTCGATCGCTACCCTAAAATTTCACTGAGCATTCTCATGCTCTTTTGCTGTTACTGACCGGCCACCTCGGTTTGCAGGCACTTGGGGAATACGGCCTTGGAGATTCCTCAGAGAGCCTGCTACAAAAAATAAGAACTTAATTAGTACTAACCTATCACTCCCATTGGACACGAGCACTAATTCGCAGTCAACAGTGGTTACACACGGACATTCTCATCATATCACCAGTTCGCAGTAGCTAGGGTTCTACTCCAAAGTAAAAATAGCAACCCATCGATGTGATAAGCCCTTCCACTAACTAATAAGCGTATATTCTGTTGTTTCGATAGGCGACGGATTGAAAAGCAGTGCATGCAGCAACGATAGGTCGTGAGAGGCTAACCACATAGGATTAGAAAATAAATCTGATGAACATTATCGTCAACGTGTTAAATTGGAGTGAAACGCGTGAATCTGCCGTAAGTGAACGAATGATGCAATGACGATACCAGATTAAACATGACATATCAAAAGGAGACTGGAATGGCAATATAGATAAACATCAAGTTATTAGTACTCTGACCAAAAGAGATAAGGGAATTGGCGTGCAAAGTGAAAATTATCATCATACCTCATTGTATAAGTCTACGCGGGCGATTTTCAATCCAGACGCGGAGAACTTCGGAATGGAAAATCTGACCATTATGGAGGGGTTCATAGGTAGACTGTGATTGGAACACAATTCAAGCTGAGAAGAAAAATATGAAGTGTCAAAGGAGTTCTATTAGTATCTGTTAAAATAACGTTCGCAAAACAGGAAAGGAGTTATCCACGATGAGGTGCGATACTAAACGAGTAACCATGAAGACTAAGAGGCAAGGAGAAGACACTACAAGCACGCCATCAAATATTTCACTGGCATCAGCCATCTGGCTAAAGCATTTATGAAGTCCTGCTACCTTCGCATGAGCCTACGTCCGTTAGCGTTTACTTACAAGGAAACTCAATTCATTTGGGCTCGGCATAGAAAAATACGCACGGCGACGGTTTATGGGGATTAGAAGGTTTACAGAGCAGCCTCGTAAACATACTCCAATAATTATCTGCATTCGTCGTTTGCGACTCAATCTGCAATGACCGACAGTGACACAAACAGGTGATTTCAATGGAGTTAGAAGCCATTTTTAGTTCGAATAAGGCTGTTCTCAAGTCACAAACGAAACACATGCAGCTAAGTGTGGGAAACACTAGTGATACAGATGAGAGTGCATAGGCTTGGTCCGCATTACGTATTCGGGTTCAAAGCAATTTATCCGATCACCCAACCTACTTCGTGTATGCATCATACAGTTTAAATTGCTCCTTATGGGCGGTGGCTCCCAAGGTTGTCCACCATTGCAACGATATTGCGTTTTGGAGGGTTGTGATAAGTCGCGAACTTTGCACACCCACAGTTACGTCGCGAAATAGTTAACGCTGCCTTCACTTCGTGGTTATTATCGCGATTCGCAAGAACCCGGAATATATTTTACCGGCAACCTATGCTGGTGAAGCGGACTTAGTAGAAAAGGTTTATACTGACAATGTATCAGGATATCACATTCCTATGAGTAAGCTTTCTGTGTCGATCAATTTAGGTTCCACTTGTATTTCGATAAACTAGGCCTGTAGCTGGCCATCAATGATGTTCAATGCCCACATGCGCCAGTCGTCAATCACAGTCTAGACCCGTCTGCTTCTTCGTCTAAACTCGCCTGTATTTCCACTTCCACCTAGAAGAAACCGGTGTATGGTTCGTCCGATGAGATGTGTGCGTCCAGACAGGTGAATTACTAAAAGTCACCCAAACGCGGTCAAGGCATCGTTACAGGGGAGACGGCAGAGGTCATTAGTAAGCCTTGCATTTTGGGGCTAAGCCAGGGAGGACAACAATTTAGGGGCCGCAGAAGTCAGCTCAAGGTCCCCCTCGTAGAAATGGGACCGCGTCTGATCGTGATGTCAGGCAAAAAATGACACATCACAGAAATCACTTTCTGCTCTTAAAGCGGATTAGCAAACGACCTGCGGAAACCCATCCTCTGAGGACGATACGACAAGCGGAGTGTACCATGGATTTCCTGTATGTCTCCATCTTCAATATGATCGAAATAACAACATGGCAATGCCTCACCTTTCGGGACTCAAGAACGGCCACTGCTGGTAACAGATAAATCAAAGCCGTATGCCACGGAGTGCGTCTCCAAGTTGCCGATAGGACAATGACCGCATTTCACGATTAGATGCGAAATAAATAGGTCCCAGATTGCAGTATATACAGACGCAAGCAAGCAACGGCAGCACCGATGACGTGGAGGGCTTTCACCTGGCAAACGGTCTGTTTATAAAAATCCGCAATAGTCGGTGATGGTATTGTGTCGTGGCGACCGTGAATCGCCACTAAATAAAGTCACCACTCCATGCCTCTTCTGAGTGGTATCTTAATTCAAGGGTATAACGAGACACTTTTACATTATAGACCTAAAGGCGCATGAAGCATTGATTCAATCACCGGCTCACAACGGGTTGCGAGGCCATCGCGACACCCTGCTACCTTGTAGGTTGGATCCTCGATCGATGGGTCAACAAGCAAAGGTGACAGATAAGGTAAGTTAAGATTATCATACAAGTCATGCTGGAGAAAATTTTAAATTTTGAACGTGCAGTAGAGAAATGCAGCATTTTTGAACAGTCACTGTGCCGTGGATGAAACCGGTCATTTAGTACATTAAAAAATTGATGCAGACATCAAAATGCCTGGAAATGATCAAATGAACTAAAGAATCTCTGGACAAGCTGCTGCTTCTAGTAATCTGCCTTATCGATTGCACCCATAAGCCCTGACAAGATAACAGAGGAGCAGTATAACCTATCAGCGGTCAATGCATGAAGTCACAAACTTTTATAATATAGTACAGGGTACTGAAGGCATTTTAAGCCTGGGAACACACAAAGAAGGCTTTCTGACTTTATGAGCAGTCTCAGGCGCGTAGAGCAAGAGGGGTTTATTTCGAATAGACACCACGATACTTGGCGGTGGATGATTTGGGTATGAGATTTCTGTTCACAGAGTGGAGGAAATATCTACGAGATATAGAAGTAAATGGTAGTAGCTCAGGTTGTTCATTTGTTAGATGGAATTTTCTCTGAGCTTGGCAATCAATTTGCAACCGTTTTGTCACCAGTCGAGATAACATCATCTGTGCGTTAGTGCGTAGTCTAAAATAACTGCCAAGCTCAGACAACAGTTAATCTAACAAATATCTATGAGAGACTATAGGTTTTCGCCACGAAGGAAGGAAAACATCACATCACTGCATCTGGAAGCGTCAAGACCAAGGGATCTGGAAGCGACCAATCAAACAGAGCTTCTGATTCACGTTAACGTAATCCTGAATAGCACAAGACACTCAGCATATCTGCATCCTACAGATATTCGACATATAAGGAGAATAGAAAAGGTGATAGGATCACCCTCCGCAGAACAACATAGTGGGCACGGAGGGGTAGAGGATTTCCCACCGCTTAACTTGGTGAATTGAGTACGATCCGTGAAATAGTCACGCAACAGATTATACCATGTCGAGCGAAGTCCGATCTCGGAAAGTAGACTGAGCAACATTGACCCATCTAGGCTTTCAAAAGACATCCGAATTATTAAGGAAGAGAAGCTGTACGGATAAACATCTCTGATTTATTGTAGACGCCATAGAATGAAAAAGATATAAGACCGCACTCAAAGTAGAGTGTCGCGGTTTGTATGCAAACTGGTAAATATCGTCACCCTCCTGGTTTGTGATCGAGACCGTGTGTAAAAGTTTTCTTGATACTCATTTTCTGACGTTTGGGTTTTATTTAGGTTAGTTTGGCTGTAAACTTAACAATTACCGGTGCCTGTTGGGAGAGCTCAATCTGTAATTCTAAAGTCCTCTTACACCGGCCTGCAAAACGGTTGCTTTCGTGAACAACATGTACCAATACTAAACTAGGTGGGTGAATTCGCAAGATGACTAACATATTACAAGGTGAGAACTTATGAGAAAGTGACCAAAGACCGCGTCATATTTCCTGATGAAGTCTCGGAATTGCCTACCGGATGGCGCACTCGAGATAGCAGTAGTGTTGCTACATTTACTAGCATTCTACTGTTAGCACCTACATCTGATGAGTTCATTGTAAAGGTAGAAGAAGGGAAGTAATGTGCGGAGAGCCATCGTGATAAAAAAGTACGTTAACTTGATCCGATGGTTTGCCTGCCTCAACGACCAAATGATCTGCCTTGAGGGTGATTCTTGTAGCTTCAGAGTCACACTAATACCTAACTGGTCAATGATGGGAAACCAGACAAACACACACTATACACGCTAGCGAGAGGTGGGGAACACCTCAGCTACTGTGCCGCAATACATAGAAAAAAGGAGAAAAAAATGCAGCTGGTGCAAGCTGGCTGAGCTACCGGTAACGGATGGGCATCGTTCCGGTAAGCTACCAGCCGGCTACTGTGCATCAAAAAAAAATTACCGTGCAAAATTATATAAGGCTAAATAATGAGATCGTGGTTGGAGGGGGAGACTAAGAGGGATGGGGTGGGACAAAGAAACTCACAGCATGAACGCCACTGAGGTCGGATCCTAGCCATATCAGCAAATGTGTCCAACCAAACGTGTTCATCGTCTTTCGGACCCCAACCAGGGAGCCGAGACGTTCCAACCGAGGCCAGTTCAGAAGTGAGGGCCTTCACTCCTCTGGACCAAGTCATCGCTTGGCCACCCCTCCTCTTCTTCCATGCACACCCCCGGCGCGCAAACAACGCACGTCGCGGGAGTCGGTGGGCTGGCATGCGTAACACGTGACCGAGCCATCGGAGCCTGATGCGTGAAATAACGGTGCTGAGCGGTTCAGTTCCTTTTCCTGTGTCATAAACAAGGCGTCGAACACGCTCGCTGCTCACGCGCTGTTCCCACCAGATGTGAGCTAAATTACGAAGGCACCGGTGGTCGAACGTAACTAGCCTCTTCATGTCCGCTGATCTAAGCGGCCAGGTTTCACAACCGTACAGTAGGGTCGAATGTACCGCTGCATTGTACACTCTACCCTTCAGGGCAATAGTGATGTCGCGCCGACGCCATAAGTGGCGAAGGTCAGCAAAAGCGCCTCGAGCCTCGGTTCGTGATCTCATCTGCAATCCCACGGGCGCTGATACAACTTCCCAGGTAGTTGAATTTTTGAACGACTTCTACTTGATCCCCACCAAGGGTCACTGTAGGAGGCGGTCAAGGCCAACCTTGGTGGAACGCTTTGCACTTTGAGGGTGCGAAGCAAAGCCCGAAGTGACGGACAGTCGGTGTTAATTTGTTCAGTGCAGCTTGGCACGTTTGTGAGCTGACACAGATTAGGGCATATCGTCAGCATACTCCAAGTCAAGAAGTCGTTCTCCTGGGAGCAGATCCACACCTTCTAAGTCGTGTCCTGTGAACGCGATTTCCATGACTTCATCAATAGCGAAGTTGAAGAGATGACAGTGGACATCCTTGTCTCACACCGCTGGAGATATTAAAGGGCGACGAGAGCTCGCCGTAAACCCACACTCTGCCTGAGCTACGCGGGTAAAATGATCGGATAATATTTACATATTTCTCAGGTATACCTCTCCTGAGTAGACAGTCCCAAAGTGCGTCTATCCACCGAATCGAATGCACCTTTGATATGGAG